TTTCCCAAATCACCCACGCCTCTAGTCCACCAGTATGCGTCGACCACGGTGAGTCGATCAGTAGTGGGTCGCGTGTGACGTGGTGGGGTAGAGCGGTGGTGCCACCCGAGTTCGATTCCCACTCACGGCCAACACCGGTGACGATTATCTAACCGGTCCTGGGCATCCTCCCTCTAGGTCGACTCAGCCTTAAATGAGTACCTGGTGCGGTGTGTAAACATCGCGACTGGGGAGACAAAGGAGGTCGGGCGTGGTACTGGTCACCACCCCCTAGTGTGCCGTGCTGGCCTTCATAGGTGCTCGCTAACAGCACTTGCCCTACAGCCTGTTAATGCTGTGCGGGGGATCTTTGTTGTTGGTGTGGTAGAGTGCCACCTCTGTCAAGACATCTTTCCAGTGTGAAAGAGTAGGCCAGAATATTGTCTTACTACAGAGGGCTCTCTCTCGCTCTTATGGAGGGCCTTCCGTCAACTGTGGAATGATTAAGTAATTTTATGGTTGCAGCTTAGATGTTTTTTTTTACAAAGTCGTTATGCGGTAATCTGTTTCTCTTGCCGCGTGCTCTGTGGGAATTGTTGTTGCAAACTAAAGCACTATGATGCTGTGACGAGTTGTTACTGGATTGCCAGTTTGGTGGTAAGCGTTTACGTCGAAAAATACAACCCTTATATGAGAGAGCCACGAGTACATGGTTTATGAAGATGGAGAGATTAAGACTGAGAAACGTACGCTGCAGATAAAACAACTTGCCTATTGATTTTCATAAAACTGAGAAACACAAGAACATAGCATATACTTTTTTTTAATAAAGTTGCTCTTATCAATATTTAGTTTGACACTTCAATATAACATTTTGCCCATCTCGATCATCAATTTCATGTATTGACCGAATGACACAGCTTTTACATCTTATCTAACTCAATACCGTCAACATTTTCTTGATTTTAACAGAATGTTCCCTCTTTAACTTTTAAAAAATGTTGTCGTAATAAATTGCTGCCTACCCCTTCTGATTTTTGTTTGTATGTCGCGTACTGTCACAAACTTATGCATTTTTCGATTTAAAGATTTCGTGACTGCAGGGATTCATCTTCTTGGTTCTCTCGGTAAAGTCACGTAGAAGGGAAATAATAAAATAATAAAAATAAAACATAATAAAATACAATTCTCACGACGTTTCGGCCACAACGCAAGCAGCCGTCCTCAGGTGAAGAACAGGGCTGTCGGAAAGACAGCGTCTGAATTCAGACGTTGTCTTTGTATTTTATTATGTTTTATTTTTATTTTTATTTTATTATTTCCCTTCTACGTGACTTTACCGAAAGAACCAAGAAGCTATGAATGTCAATTTGCATGTGCATTGTGCACAGCATGCAATCTGACATCAAAGGAAATACAGGTAATTTTTTCTATTTTCAATTAACTTATGAAAAATTTGCTTTGTTCAATGTTCTGTAACATGAGGCAGAAAAACACGATTGTGATCGATACACAATGATCGTGCGCATAATAAAGATACGCATACACTAATGATTATTTTAATATACATACCATCAGTTGTGGTTTGAACAATGCAATGATTCATCTGCTAGATCTCATTATTTTGTGTGACAGTGGTTGGATATTTATAGTCATGTTCTTCTATTTGCAAAGTCTAATTGAAAGTAATGCACTGTGCCTTGGAGGGACACCAGGGCTTAAAGCTCTTTGCGTCCACTGATCCTCCAGAGTGGGATCAGTTGAAGCCAAAATACAAAGTTCCAACACGATATCCCGAGGACGTCCTCGACAGCGCACGGTGGAATCTTCTGGGTTTATTTTTTGACAATTTCCCCAGCCCACGTGGGGGGCCACTCCGCTATATATTTGAGCTCGTGCGTGACTCGACGCGATATTCGGGGCTGACTTTTTCCAGGTCGGTTTATTGTTTGGTGTGCCTGGAAACACCAACGCCCTGCCTATTTTGACAGAATTAGCAGAAGCAGATTAAAAAATTCCCCATCTCTTGTTAACAACTCAAACAAGTTAATTCGGTGAAGCGTAACAACAACATGAACACATGCTGTGTAACTTTAAAAACCACACCTGACAATACATTTACTTTTTGTGAGGTTCCTTTAAAACTGGTTTCAGCCTACAAAATGTGACATTTTTTTAAAATTCCAGCTGAATCCAATATAACCAATGTAAATTCATCAATAAGTAATTAATAACTCACGGAACCCAGAACGGACACGTTTAAGAAATGAAGCAAGAGTTGATCGCCAGGAATGACATTTGACTTGAGCTGCGTCTGTCCTCGTCGAGGTATGTACGTCCTGTCATAATTGTTTCAATTCTTCTCTGTTTGCTGTATAAGGCTGAGTCAACTTCTCTGATCCAGAGTTCACCATGCCTTACAAAGGAGAGTGTGGCGACGATGAGGACCCCATGCCATTCCTGAAGCCCACGGATTCGGAGAAGCTGGAGTTCCAAGCCCGTCCTTTGACATCAAGAAAACTGTTGGGTCAAAGATGAGAAGGAGGGCTTCATGCAGGCGCTGATCCAGGATGATCACGGAGACAACACCGTGTCCGTCAAGTTTACCGTCAATAATGAGGTTTGTGATTCGGTCGCGTGTTGTTAAAACACAAAACAAACACGTCGGCTGCTCGACGACAGAATGTTAGGGATGTCTGGGACATAAAACCAAGGCCGTAATTATAATGTATATTGGGGGGAAACATCCCCCCAATATTAAAATATGCTCAAAATGTCCCCCCCAATATATTGCTATAAAATAGATTTCTGTTTATATGATTGTGGCTATGGTTGTACTTTATAAATTCCTAATCTCTGCCATTACATACAATGAAACAAGAAATGGTAAAAAAAAGTAAAACAGAGTAATGTAACACAATACACTATTCGACATTTTGGTTAAAAAAAAAGAAGTCCATCCCATGTGTTAGTGAATTTTTTAATATTTTAGGCAGGAAATTAGTTTTCAAATTTAAATATTTTTCTGGGTTGGGACCCCCAGACACCCTGGAAGATTTGGTCCCCCCCAATGCTGACTCCATGGCTGCGGCCTGCATAAAAGAAAAGCAAAACGAGGGAAGATGCCACGATGCGACGGTTATCGCACCGGGCTTGCGATTCCAAAAGTTGTGGAGCTTCAATCTCTTGGCTCAACGGCGGGAAACATTTGGCGAATGTTTGTTCTAATCCACCGGTCTCTATCCACCCAGCAGCAGAAATGTGTACGGTATTCCGACCTCTTCCAAAGACGTCTGGCCAGCGTGGAAGAGAAGGCCAATAGCCTAGATCCCGTCAGTCAGCAGCAGTGTTGGCGAACAATCGCAGGGCCTGCACCATTAAATTTTTACAATAAAGCTTGTTTTTACTGTCAAGCTTGCTATCACTAAAGCTTGCTACCACATGACCTCATTCATAGTCACCAGGTAGCTTACGTTTGTGGCTTATTGCAGAACGTCGCTTGTTCTTGTGCGCAGATCGCCAAGGTGAAGAAAGACATCGTGCAGGAGATGAACCCTCCCAAGTTTGAGCAGATAGAAGACATGGCCAACCTCACCTTCCTCAACGAAGCCAGCGTTCTCAACAACCTCAAGGAGAGATACGTCAAAATGCGCATCTACGTGCGTATGATATTTTTGTGAATTGTGTGTGCGCTTTACTTTGTATGGAGGATGGGGAGGGTTTGGGTTTGTTTATATACTCGACAAGTCAGATAGACGTTCCATTCAATCACGGATATACACAGCACTGCATAGATTGCTATGCCGTTTGTTGTTTTGTTATCGCAGCAGTTAGTAGTTAGTGGATTTGGGCGATGAGTCGTTGTCAACCTGAGTTCAATCTGGCACATTGTAAATAAACTATGTTTGGCAGACCCACATATCATAATATGTATAATAATACAAAAAAATGTTTGCTATTTAAAGGCAGTCAGAAGCACATGTACAGATGAATACATCATCATGTTAACAATGACAGAGAATGTTGTAACATACTTTGTGATGAAAAATTCAGGTCCATCAGGCCAATTATAATTGTGAACTATGAACAGAGAAAATGTAAAATCACCGTTGTTATCAACATATTGTACAGTAAATGTCACCCACCATACTTGAATGTGTATTTGTTCATTTGATGCAGGACATTGTTATGATTTAGTGACTTCTCTTTTTAAGAATATGATAAATATGGTAGGATGTGAACATGTTAAATGCCTTTATTTTTATAAAACACCACGAATTGTACAAAACTGATGCTGACTATTTGACCGTCAAGAATGTATTTTTACATCAAGTGCTCAGAGATGCCTTTATTGATGTGAAGTGCACTATACAACAAAAAACCACATTGATCGATGTTAACAGCAATTCTTCAAATTAATAGAACATTTTTTATAAAGAGACCGGGTGTCCGGCAACATTCCCCCGCGAGATAACGGTGCGAAAGAGCCGTGCAGCTCATCGGATATCCTCCAAAGTCGACGTAAAGACTCTGATCGTAAACATTTGCTGTGTAGATTTGAAGCTTTCGTGACTGCAAGGATTCATATTCTTAGGTTTTTTCGGTAAAGTCACGTAGGTAAAAAATAAATAATTAATAAAGTAAAATTTAAATAGCTGTATCGTGCTGTGACGGTTCCACCTGAAGACGGAAGCTTGTGTTGCCTCCGAAACGTCGTGATTTTTATTTTATTTTTTATTTTACTTTCATTAATGTAAAAAATTACCTACGTGACTTTACCGAAAAAAACCGAAGAACATTCTGCTGTGTGCAGACCTACTCTGGGCTCTTCTGCGTCACCATCAACCCGTACAAGTGGCTGCCCATATACGGGAGCAGAGTGGCCAAGATGTACCGTGGCAAGAAGCGCAACGAGGTGCCACCTCACCTCTTCTCCATCTCCGACAATGCCTACAGCGACATGCTGATAAGTAAGCGGCTCCGCGGAGCAAAGCCCACCTCCTCATCCCGCTGCGCGCCGTGCGATTTGCGTTACGATTTTGCCTCGCTCATGCGCTCGGAATCGCGGCGATGTGCCGGGAAGACAGGAGCACCGACACACCGGAGATTGTCCGCAGATGGAGAAAGGTGAGCGGTTGGGCCTTGGACAGAAGGGGTCAAGAATAAAATAACGGAGCGGCGGCAGAGGGATGGGAATCCGTCCAGGGGGGGCTGTACGTCCACCAAAGAGATGGAGTGATGAGATGGGTTTTGTGCGCAGGTACTGGATGTATAATTACGTCGCTGGAATCTTGACAGGTGGCGGTGGCTCGGGAAGGACTTCATCCATCATGGCTAATGATGCAAACTTGTGAATCAACATGCATGGGTATGCACGCTCGATAGAGCAACCGCCATATTATTGTTGCGTGCATTTTTTTGTAATGCTCTCATGTTTTTATTTTACCTGCAGATAAAGCCAACCAGTCTATGCTGATTACGTGAGTAATTATTTATGCTGTACATGATTTATTTATATGAGGGTTTGATTCACGGCCAAATGTAGCGTCGCTGGCCAACCACATCTGAACTATTCTAACAGCCCACTGCACCAACCTGCACTGACCAGCATTGCGAAGTTGGGAGGCCCTCATCCAGCAGTGGATTGAGAAAGGCTTAAACGTTATAATACTAATTATTATTTTATTAAAGGAAAAGCTAGTGAGGCAATAAGAAGCTCAAGAGGCTCCATATTCATGAAAACCTTGAGGTGCATGAAATATCAGCTCAAATTTAATTACTATCACACAACAACAAACATTAAAATAAATTAATTTTTATAATGTATATCTTGTTTGTATATCTTCTTTTACCTCACACTACATCCTCTACTTTGTCTAGATGTATCTTATCTCACTACACATGTACCTCTCGTCGCTCTTGTCAATATCTCTTCTGTCATCTCACTCGGATTGTTTGATTTGAAAGGGGGGCACACAACAAGAGAGTTTTGCTACTTAGGGGCCGCAATGGGCTTAAATTTTTAACGTATTTATTAAAATATTTTATTTGGGTGTCTCTTGACACATACATAGCAAACACATAATGACACGCATACACGCATTTACAATATATAAAATACAATGAACGTCGCACCCAGTGGGATACGTAATAAATACGTGGAAAAATAAATGTTTGACTTACACTGCCGCTTTATGCAGAAGGCACTCTTGCTGTCACCGTTTCAGATTTCGAACGTTGGGGCTGCCACGTGCTATACCGCCTGACGATAGCCTGGTGATGATGATGATGACAGTGGTGGTCGCATGCATTTTTTGACTGTATAATTTGTTATTTTCCTTCCCACGTCCCATGGCATCAGCGGGGAATCCGGTGCCGGCAAGACTGAGAACACTAAAAAGGTCATCCAGTACTTTGCCAACATTGGAGGAGGCAACAAACAGATCGACCAGAGCAAGGTGACGGTGCTGTTAGACGACACTTTACACGTACGTGTGGCCATCGTGCTGCATGCGTGGAGCCCTAGGCAGCTTATCTGCGGAGAGAAAAGTCTATCCGCTGCTGCTGCGCTCAAATAGTGCATTGTGGGAACGGTGGTGTCGAACTGTTATGTCCGTTGGTAATTAAAGTTATTTTCAAGTTTTTTTTTTTAGATGGTGCTTATCATCATTATTATTACCACATACAGCTTCAACCTCTAGGC